AAAAACAGAAAAGGAAAAAAAAAAAGAAAAGAAAAAAAGAAAAAAAAATCTACAAAATAAAGTCTTTGAGGACAAACTTTCTTTTCTTTTGAGGGAACAATCTTTCTCACTAGGCTTTACTTTTATTGCTCTCATATTTGATTGATTGAAATCCTGAAGCTAGTTTATACTAACAGTAGTGGAATTTTGAATAGCTAATTAACGTATCTTCTAATCAATGGTTGTTAGTATGATTGTCTGTTAAATTTGACCTTTTCCTTTGAGTGACTTGCTGCTTTCCAACTCCATGAGAGAAATCCTTTGCCTTAAACAGTTACCATCGTGTGAGGATATGGAGTTGAGGCTTTTACTTTGATTAATTCTCAAGGCTATATATGTTGTGGTTTGTGGTATGAAGGTTATGCTTAGTTCACACACACTTTTGGAAGTTATAATTGAAGTAATCTTGATAGCAACTGTGATCTTTTTCCAATTACATAGGTAGTCTTGTTAGATATCCATTTGAGTTAATCAACATGCTTTCTTTTTTAATTCACGCTTGTATTGCTAGAGAGTAGCAATAAGCTGGTTGGGGGTTGTGATGAAAGCATGAAAATGTATATTTAAAGTGTGTTTAACCATTAGCATTTGTGGAATTATGGGCTTAAGAGTTGTATTTTTTTACAAGTAATTTCATAAGTGTTCATTCTACTTATGTTGTGCAAATTTTTTATGATTGAAGGTTTGATAATTAAATGGAGAGAATGCAAAGAGCCAGAAAGATGAGGGTCCAAGGTTCAAATTTAGAAGTTTGAAGGCTCAAGTGGGATTTTCTCCATTTTTTATTAAGGAGCAAAGTTCATGAAGTTGAAGTGTTAATGAGGAGTTGGAACCTGTTTTTCAGGTTCCAACCCCTGGTCAATGCAAAAGGATGGACAGTAGCATGAGGGATTCCACACCCTGTGATCAGGTTCCAACCTCTGGTCAGTGTAAAACAAATTTAGTTTTTCATTGTGAGAACTCTTTTTGTTGATTTAATATAACCTCCCTGTGGATCAACACTTACAGTTACACTACAACAACTACTCAGCCAAAGGGTTTTAATTTTGGGGCAAGACATCACTTAGTCTGCTTAGTTGCAGCAAGATGCCCTGGACAAAACTCTTACATTTCTTGGAGTGGGTAGATGATATTTGCATCATTTGATCTTTGTGAGTTCATATTTGTTTCCTTTTTCCTCTGGAATATGAAGATCTCTTCTTAATTCACTACTGAAAGTAATATAATTTGGTTCTCTTATTCTATATCTTATTCTATAGTATGCCATTAAAAATTGCTTTGATTATATGTATTTGCCTTACTGCCTTGGCTTAGTTCAAGAAAACTGGTTATTTCTTGATTGGTTAAAACCTCTTTTTGGTCCCTGAACTATTGTACGGACCTCCGATTTGGTCCCTGAACTAAAAAAATCCCTGATTTGATCCCTACTGTTTACCATTTTTACCCCGATTTGGTCCTTCCGTTAAAAATCTAGTGACATGTGCTGTTAATTAATGGGAACACGATGATATGTCATCTAATAACCCACGTGGAAGATAACATAGTCAAAAAGTGATGAATGTGGAAAAAATAATAATATAAAAAAATATTATGAAAAATAAAATTTAATTTTTTTTTTCTTTTTTCTTTTTTTTCTTTTTTCTTTTTCTTT